GCCCAGACCCACAGTCGGCCCCCAGATAGCCGCTCTCACTATCTGTCGCGGTGCAGAGCGCGTGACTCCCTGCACCGCCTATCGGCGCGACCGAGAGGCCACTCACAGCTCCGAGATGACCGGGTACAGTAGGCCGTAGTCCGTCTTGAACCTGGCGGCAGGAGAGCCGGCCTCAACGACACAAGTGGGCCGGACACAAGACGGACGGCGACACCGCCCGGTCATGCGGCGTTGCCGTCCGTCGTCCAACGGGCCATGTGTGAAAATGACGCGCCCGTAGCACAAAACTTCGTGAGGTGTCCTAGCAGTCGTTAAGTAGATAAGGTGTGCGCTAAATTTATCCGACGCGTCCGAGAGCACCAGTACTAGGTACTAGCCCTAGTACTAGAGTACTAGGGCTAACTACTAGCCCTAGTACTAGAGTACTAGGGCTAACGAAAAACTGTTTTTTGAACAAAAATATGCACTGAGAGGCTGGTATTTGGTCGCTGGCACACCACAGCGATACTAGCCTCCTACTAGCATATGCTTAGGAAACCTTTGCACACAAACTGCAGAAGAAATCGCACATGGCTGACAAAAAGTGTCCAACAAAAGCAAGAGGATATATCGCACCATATGTGCATGGAACTAAAAATCCCTCTCCTGTAGGCCGAACCCATTACATGAACGCACAGCGACGAGACATGCCTGCATGTAAAGAACCATAGCGCACTTACGAACACCCGGTACCAATGGGGTATGGCTCAGGGTGTTGTCCGGGGTCATACGGTGTACTGGGTCATCGGTTAACAACCAGGGCACACCAACCCACTTGATGCTTCAATCCCGAGAGCGTATGTCAGATGCCGCCCACATACCGATCGCTTGTTGCCTTTGTGAGTAAGAACGCTTACTTGCTCATGCCATCAAACGCGGCAGGTCGCGTGGTCTTCTTGCTGTCCGAATTCACGCCTTCCTGGAATAAGATCACAGAAACAGCGATGAATGGAGCAGCACAATGAGCTGATAACTGTTCAAGTGACGGGGGCGGCCGTATGCAGCCCAACTGCAGGACAGCAACTCGATCAATACGTACCGCCAATCCCGGCGTGGGACAATACAAAAACCAATGCACTTCGGACAGCATGCTGCGGATGAAAGAACAGAGGCAAAACATGCCAGAAAAACGCTCCAGTCTCGCAAGGAGGGTGAGCGTACACGCCCCTAATCACCTCCTTACCAGCAAAAGAAGCATATCCGGTTTCATTCCCTGGATGACGTTCGCTATCTGCGGAGCACAGCAACACAGAGGTCAGTGCTTCCATCAAGTCTTGATGCGCAGGAACACAGGCCGCACGAAATAAAGTGCCACCACCGCGTCATCCGACTAAACGTCGACTGCACGATCCCAAGTGGATGGTTTGGCATAACCTTTGTTAATCCACGTAAACCTAAACCTTATAGCTTTGTATGTAACTTAGAAATAATCTTTTGTCACAAGCAAAATTTTATGTTGGTTGAAAATCCACCGAAAGTAACGGCAAAAGCGAAGGCATACCAAAGATCCCAAGACACACCCTTCTAGCCGCAGGGGGAGGGCCATACAAGCCAGCACAAGCGGTCGTCTCGTGCAGCTACCTCATCGACGTATTTGACGTCGTCTACGCCGTACTGAGCCTTGACGTCGTCGGCGGTGAGCAGGCGGCCCATCCAGGTGGCGTACACCTCGTCCAGGCGCGGGTAGAAGACGGTGGTGCGCCCGCTGGCCACCTCGATGCAGGCATAGCAGTCCGGTACCAGGACCCCGAACGCCCAGTGAAAGAATGACTCCTGCGCGCGGGGACAGACGTCAGCGCCCGGCGCGGCAGACGCAGCGCTCGGCGCGGCAGCCAGCGGCCAGCGCGGCGCTCTGTGTACGCGGTGGCGGCATGACGACGACGTCCGCAGCGTTTGTGTACCAGCGATACTCCAGCAGCCTGAGCACAAGCTGCTGCGTCGCGTTCCCTCAAAAATCCTACCGGAGGTCAGCATCTCGTGATTTACCGGTGCATCGCATCATTCGCCAGTGAGACAGCGCCAAGAATACTCGGTATAACTGCAGGCCAAATGCTTGGCACCACGGATCATGTGAAAACGTGCTCTCTCATCTGGAATGTTTCTCATAAAGGCTCCATTCAAACCTGCCTGCCGCAAGAAGCCGGCATAATCAAAGGTTGAAATGCCGCCGATGCACCCATGGTTGCGGCCAGTACGAGAAAAAACAGCAGCACATGTGTCCATATACCAGCCATCAAAGGGCGAGCCACTGACACTGATAACGCCACCGATACCGTGTACAGGTCCCTCCGTAAAGATCCCTCCGCACATTTTATTTTTGCGCATTTTTTGCATATCTTTTCATATTTTTGCATATTTTAGCTGGTGGCCAATTGACAGCAAGTTTATTCAAAATAGAGGTATATGTATGATATTCGCTCAGTCACCTCCAATACTCCTCATACCAGTGGCCTTTGCACGTACTGGTCAATGCACTTACAGGGCCGTCTGATCGCGACCATTTCGTGGGGACGCGCAAAAGCCGGAGAGCGCACGGCAACAGGCATGGATCATTTCTAGGTCAGCATGATCATCCGACCCGTCTAGTGTGGCAAGAAAACAGCCCCTCAAACAGGAGAGTTAGCAGGGTGGTTCACGCTGCATCTGCAAGCAATAGCACGGTTACTCTCCTGTGCCCGAACCCAAAGCCAAGGCAAACCTATCACAAAACCCTGAGGGAGTCTGAGTGCCCCAGGGACATGCACCGGGCCAGCCGCGGCCTCCACCGCAGCCGCAGCCGCAGCCAGCCGGCCGTCGGAGCGGTGGTGGGCGCACCTGTCTGAACTCGTGCTCGGCGTCACTGCAGTAGCGTGTGGTCGCCTCGCCCCCCTGCAGCACGACCACCGCGCCGGCCGGCACGCCGTCAGTGCTCCGCAAACTCTTTGCAGAGTCGCTGCCGGTTCAGCCGGTGCAGCTCCAGTGGCACTTTCAGGGTGTGCTCCCCCAGGCAGAAGCCCTCGCTGCCATTCAGACTTATCGTTAATGCGGTTGTTATGACAGGCACTGTAAGGAAACAATCTTCCACATTGGAGAGCTAACAGGATGGTTCACCCTGCATCTGCCATCAATAGCACATTGCTCTGCACTTTCCAAATCTCAAGTCCAGGCAACAGCAGGTAGGTCCAGACTGCCCATGGCTGCCCATGTGGCAGCCACCAGCTGCTGTGCCACAAGACATGTGGGATGGTTGAGAGCAATATGCCAAGAATGTGGCACGATGTCATTAGGAGAAAATGGGAGGCAACTAAAAGTTGGTTTTGAGTCAGAAGAGAAATGCTGGTAGTGGTGCCAACTCTCAAAATCACACAGTCATACAGCCACTGCATGAGACGTAAGATATTCCCCTTGGCAGTGAGATTCTGTCATCTGCATCCCACCGACCCTTACCTTGCCATTGTCAGGTGTCTTGTTATTTACTTAAATCGCAGTTTGCTAATCCTTTCAGCTACCTGAAACATGAAATTGGGCATGTACAGCCAATGGTAGACAGGTAGCTAGGTAGACAGAAACACAAGTAGACAGATGGTAGGTAGACATAGGTACACAAACACAAGTAGACATAGATACCTTATGTTACTAAAGAGCACTGTACATAAATCATCTGCTTTATGGCACAAAGTGTTGTAGGTAACCATGCAACAGGTACAGCTACATGCCTACCTTCAAAATTCAACATTTAATAATTACTATAGATTACATTCAAGCGATCCCAGGACTTAACACTGCCAACCTGCTGGTGCCATTGCTATGAAGTTATAATCCACCTGCAATTCCTCAATGAAAATAGCCTTTTCAGAAGAGGAGTAACACAAATCTAACCTAACCTGACCTAGCCTAATGTAGCCCAACCTAACATAACCTAGTGTGGTCTAGCCTAGCCTAGCCTAGCCTAGCCTAGCCTAGCCTAGCCTAGCCTAGCCTAGCCTAGCCTAGCCTAGCCTGGCCTAGCCTAGCCTAGCCTGGCCTAGCCTAGCCTGGCCTAGCCTAGCCTGGCCTAGCCTAGCCTGGCCTAGCCTAGCCTGGCTTAGCCCAACCTAATGTACCTAAAACAAATTTTACATGGAGTAGACACAAAAAACTGAATGAATGTACTAGAACCAAAATGTCTGCATCCACTCATACTAATACTGTGCTGATATAACACTAGATTCAGCTAATTCAGAACATTTAATAAGTAAAAGGCCTATGCTGGTGACACCAAAATTTTGCCCCTGGCCTGTCTGCATGGGAATTTTAAGGACCAATACATACAAAAAGGTATATGCTGACATACTTGCTGTCAAGCATGGTATTGGCTGATAGGCACATTCCACATGCATATACCTAAGACGCAAAGTTGCACCTCACTCACAAGCAGGTAGACCTCACCCTTCGCACACAATCACCACGATAGCGCGGCGCATTCTCAACCTGACGACTCTCACTTGCGCCGATGCGCGTAAAATCCATCCAGGGCAACAAAGTCAAAGCAGGTACCTATTCCTCAGGACCTATCCGAACCTGCCCGAGACGGCTTGGACCGCTGCTGACGAGAGCTCGATTAGCACCACCTACCTACGCGCCACCACCGCGTGACTGCGGCCGCAGTGGAACAAAACGCGATAGGGTCAATGAACTCGAGTCCGTCCATCGCAAAGATATTGCCTAAACTAAGGCTATCTAACGGCCTAAACGGCCGACTAAACTCGTTGACAACCCCATACTTCGATTCCACGGCCATGATCGACACCAAACCTCCACCATTTAATGCCACTTGGTCAATAACCTAGCCACTCCAGAATACGGCATCATTGGGTTAAGTCAGAGGTCACAAAAATGTCACAAACCGGAAAACGGTTGCAGACAACCCATATTCCTGAGTCTATGGCACCGATCAGCGTGAAGCCTTCCCCAATCGATGCGACATAAACGATATTCTGTTTTTTCCAGAACATGGTGACCTCGCGCCAGGTCGAATGTAACCAAACACGCTTAAAATCACCACCATTGGTTACAGCCAACCCCACGCTCCAAACCTATGGCAATGGTCAGCATGAAACCTTCACTAATCCATGCACCATAGTTTATATCTTATCCTTTTCAGTACATGGATAACCTTGGATAACAGTACATGGTACATAGATAAGTCTATATCCCATCCTTCCCAGATTATGATTGCCAATTAGGTCAGATCAAGCGTCACAAAAAATGCCCCAAAACAACCAAAAATTACTGCAGAGAACCCCACGCTCCAAGCCTCTGGAACCGATCAGCATGCAATCTTCACCAATCGATGTGCCATGGCCGCCGTCCTGCGCATTCCAGAATGTGGTGACCTCGGGTCAGATCAAGGTCACCAAAATTCCAAAAACCGGGAAAAATGTGGTTGCAGACAACCCTGTGCTCCGAGTCTGTTCCGTCGTACCGATTGGTGAAGGTTTCGTGCTCATCGATCCCATGGGCTCAGGGCATGGAGCTGCCTACAGCCAATTTTGGTTTGAGGCGTTTTTGACAGGGGTGGATCCAAGGGGACACGGAGCCATGACTCCCCTTGGGCCCGAAGGGGCCCATAGCTGGCCAAACAGGCACAGTTTTTGACGCAAAGCGCAACAGAACTTGGCGACTTTGGGCCTCCATGCGACCGATGACTCGCATTAAAATGGAGCCTGTCGGCTACTGAGACCATTTTGCACTCTCCTCACATTTTAATTACACAGCAATTTTTTAGTGCTATTGAGTTGAGTATATTACGTGGATTCCAACAGCAATCAGGAACAGTACCACGTCGCGTAGGTCGATCTCTGGATGTTCACCTACACGTGAAGTCAGAGTAACTTAACGTCCAAAGAAATTTGCCTCTCAGCAACTAGATGTGCAGCCTCAGCAACTACCAGCGCAGCCTGCCAGTGAGGACCTCGCCGCACATATCACATGTGGGAGCGACTGCTGCGTCGCTCAGTCGGAATTAGTGTGTGCTTTAGCTACGGCCAGTACGCAGGCGAGTCAATATAACTTCTTCTTTCCTCGACTTACGAAGTGCGGACGACCAGTGACCTACCCAAGTGTAATGGATTTGAGCTTATTCTGGCTGCTCTCCTGATCCCACCTTGTCTGCCATTCTGCTGTAACGCAGAGTTTTATTGGCGCGCGCAGGTCACTCGTAGGAACTCGCACAACGCCGCTGGGCGGCAGTAGGTTGGCTGCTTTCGCAGCCTGGTCAGCCGACCCGTCTCCAGCCATGCCAATGCGGCTGGCGATCCAAACCAGGGCTATCTGCTGGCCTCTCTGCCGCGGGCTGGAAAGTGTACTTACGATAAGCCGCACTTGATATGTGTATGTTGTCGACATGTTTTGGATCCTCAAAACCGAGCTGAGCGAGTCAGTAAATACTGTGGACGACGGTAGGATATGTCGTAAAATGCAGTCCAGACGGTTCAGGATGGCGAGAATTTCGGCTGTAAAAACAGACTCCAATGACGGTAATCCAATCCGTTCAGAGTCTCGCGACGACACGAATGCGCATCCAGTACCCAGGTTCGTTTTGTATTCACCCGTGTAGAGGTGTGCTGACCATCTGCACGTTGTGTACATGAGGTTTTGAAATTCCTTTCTCAGCTCAGCAGCGTGCGCCAGTCTCTTGGAGAACCTGGTGAGTGATGTGTCACACGTGGGAGGTAAGGCTAGCTAGCCATGGTTCTGCGGATGAAAGAACGCGATGCTGTATTTGGTGCACGTCTACTTCGGCAGCGCAGAGCCATTCACCTACACGCACGCAGTGGTCTTGTTTTCCCCACCCTTCCTTGAGGAGAGGAACTCACCAGATCTGCGAAGAAGATCGTGTTGTATGTTGGGTGCATACGAAACTGGTATATCCTGATCACGTACCTCATGGCTAAATAGCGGCGCCTCAGGTCCAGTGGTCGTTCGTTGGCATCTACGAGCAGGCTTGTCGTGGGTGACGTGCGGAAAGCGCCGGTAGCAATGCGTATTCTTTGATGATGCACGCTGTTCAGCATCTTCTTGCTGGATTCGCGGACCGAGTCGCAGACTGTGCATGCATAGTCGAGTTTGGACCTAATCAGTGGGCGACACGGCATGACCAAGGCTTTGCGGTCTCCCCCATACGCCATACGTAAGACCACCTTAAGGATGTGTGGGGCCTTAAAACGCCTAGTGCGGAGATGCCTCAAGTGATCTACATAGGAAAGACGGCGATCCAAAACCAGACCCAAAAACTTAAAGCTATCGACCATCAGGATAGTGCTACCATACAAGCTCACCTGTGGATCACTGCAACGTTTTCTTTTTTTGTTGTAGAATTGCATGCACACTGCTTTTGTCGCTGATGGTGTAAAACCGTTGATGGAGCTCCATCGGGTGACTTTATCCACACAGAGCTGGAGTTGACGCGTTGTTGATGCCGTGGTGGATGCCGTAACCCAAATGGCAAAATCGTCCACAAACAACGAATGTGCGGGTGGCGAAGACAGTTTGCTAAATAAGAGCCCATGTGCCCGCAGACACCGCTTTTGTGAAGTTTCGAGAGAATGCTGTAACGCCAGGTGGTACCAAAGGCGGATTTGATATAGAAGAATGTTGCTACAACGTGCTGCTTCTGTCTGAAAGCCTTCTGGACTGTGGTGTCTAACACAACTGGATGGCGCAGGGTACATCAATTTTTCTAAAAAACCACATGGTGAATTGGTCAGCAGACCCTCAGTCTCTAAAAACCACATCAGTCTCGCACCAATCATCTTTTCAAAGACCTCACACACGCAAGACGTTAGTGATACTGGTCTGTAGCACCGTGGATCTGATCTGTCCTTATTGGGTTTGAGAATTGGAATGAGGACAGATTCACTCCATTGTGGCGGAAAGGCGTCGGTGTCCCAGATGTAGTTGAAGGCGCCTAGCAATGATGAAAGAGATTGCCTTTTTAGGTGTTGAAGCATGCCGTTGGTGATTTGATCAGGGTCTTGTACTGCGCTTCTGGTACTGGCATTGGCCGTCGTGAGTTCAAACACTGAAAACCTCACGTCGTAAGTCTCGGTGTTAAAAGAGTGGAAGTTCACTGGATAACGCTCACTCAGTGTCTTGTGCCGCATAAATGCGGGGTCCTGAGAACCTAGTTCGGGCCGCCTTGAGAACGTGCGCCCCAATATGCTGCATACCGCAGCAGTGTTGGTCACCGTGGTGCCCCCGGCACTCAGTACAGGTACGGGCGTCGGTGAACATTTACCAGAAATGCGTTTGATGCGCTTCCAAACTTGCGATAGTGGTGTAGAACGGTCAATGCCACTAATACACGCCTGCCATGAAGCCCGCTTGTCTTCACGTACAACGCGCCGCGTCCGCGCTCTCGGACGCTTGAAGGCAATGAGTTTGGCCAGCGTGGAGCAGCGATTACAACGCCTAAAGGCCCGCTTCTCAGCTTGGACGGCAGCCCGGCAGCCCTCCGTCCACCACGGCACTAGAATGCGTCGTGACGTCGGAGACGTGACGAGGATTGACGTCCTGGCAGCTTCTAAAATAGCGGTGTTTGCTTCGTCCATCACAGTAGTTGCCGCTTCTTCCTGCCTTGGTGCGATAACTACACTGCGCTCAGCGGCAAACTGCTATCAGTCAGCCCTCCGAAGGTTCCTTCAGGTCGGCTGGGGTCCCGGCCGGGGTACCCTCAACTTGAGCCAGATAGAGAAGTGGCCACTCCCGTTTTGGGCAGTCGTTCACGTCCCACGAGAAGCGAGTGTCGAGAGGTCGATGGCGGAGATACTGCCAGACAGTAGTGTTATGTGGATGTGGCGACCTGTGTTTAGCACGCATGGGCTGTTTCTGTGGAGGATGTCTGCTATTCGTGATCCCCGCCCCATAACCGTCTATGTGAGTTAAAATCACCAACCACAAGGTAGGGTGTCGGTAGCTGATCAAACAGTGCCTGCATTGCATTGGGATGCCAAGCTCCCCTGCTGGCGGTAAATACAAGGAGCATACAGTCACAGACAGCAAGCCGAGATCCACTCTTATCGCTATCGCTTGAACACATGTTTGCAGGGGCATGCTCGAACAAGGTACTCCATGGTGCACCAGAACGGCGACATCACCGTGGGCGACAGTGCTCACCTCTGGAGGTCGGTGAAGTTGGCTTTAAAACCTCTTAAGTTCCATTGCAAAATGGATGGTGACGTCATGCGGCTGCCATCTTGCTATGAGCTCACGTCAGTGGGCATATCAGCGGCTCAATGATCATTATTTTAGAATCAAGATTCCGTTTCTATTCTTGAGCTCGAATGCTGAGCCTTGTGGTGCACGGTTTCAGCCGAGTCTGACCGTACTCTGGGAGGGTATCTGGGACTCCCGTGGTCCGTGGGCGACAGAGGCCAAGGTGCGGCCCGCCTCGCACCACGGTCGGCGGGAGACGATAGCTGGGATCCGTTTGCATCTCCCGACGGAGGCATTGGGGGAGGACCCATGGCACCCAACGCGGCGGATGGTGTCGCTGGTGATGGTGGTGATGGTGTGGTGGGCGGACTGGGGCGGGGCGGCCGCGCTGCGCGCCCCACTGCCCCAAGATCCGACGTCTCGGGCCGACTAACAGGACGGGGCGGCTT